ATATGCCTTTCCTTCTACTTATTTTTGTTGACGACATCTGCGTTGCGCGTGTCTTCATTCGGGTTCGTGGCCCCTATCAGGTTTGTTGAGCTGAACGCGCTTAAGGTTTCATGTTTTGGTGCTTTCGACAAGATTAAAGACAGGGCTCTGGTACTTTGCACATGTTTAATCAGGTTGTACAGCTCACAAGTTCCGTGTACGTAGACCTCATTACAGAAGGTCTTTACAGGGGTTGCAGATCCTGCTTATTTGAGGTCAGCAGGTTTGGGCCAGTTGGGGGCCACCAACATCTGACAGGTGCTCTCGGGTTCTTTAGGGGGTTGAGAAGTCGGAGTGCGAACGGGACAACTTTGGCAGAGTGGTTCTGAAAATCTCCAATCTCGGCCTGTCTAAACATCCTGCAGTGAAGCTACATCCGAACGAAGGTGAGCTCGGCCACCAGACGGTTCGTGTCGCCAGCAAGCCTTCGACTCCGGAGTCTTCAGCTTGGTACGATCAGTGCAGGCTTTCACTGTTGCTGTTCTTCGGGCGCGGCAATCAGTTTCAAGTCTATTGCATGCCAGCTCCACAGAATCATTTTGTGTTCGCGTATGGTGGAATCCGAAAACTGAATACAGCAGCTCTGGTCTTAACTCGATTCTCCAGCCCACCTCGTCGGGTCTCCACTCAAGAGCCGTGCACTATCAGATTCGGCCACTATTTTCGCTTGCTGCATCATCTCCAGACTCCAAACCGAAGAGCCCTGGAAGGCTTATTCCACCACCAACAGACGCACATTTCAGATCCCTGTAAGAGGAAGCCATAGCCGCAACCAACCAGCAGCTAAACAACTCCAGAGACCAAACCCACTGACCAAACTGTGCTAAACCCCAAAGCTCTACAGCCGAAAGCCGGAAACGCTGGGAAAGCCATGTAGCACGCGATATAAAGCATGCAATAGCAGGTGACGATACTAGGGAACCGGAAGGAATAGCATTATGGATTGTTCAGACCACTATGTCAGAACCCTAAAAAGGCTTCAACACTCATTTATAAACGGCCCATCAAGAACCAATTACCCCAAACACCATAGGCCCAGAAGACATCCCCTGAAGCTTAGACCCGCTTATGGAGCCCTAAACACGGATTTCCCCCCAGACCTCAGAAGCTAAGATCCAAGGGGCAGAATCTCCTTAACGGCCCGGAACTGCTTGAGCAGCTTCGGGCCGAAGATCTTCTTGTGCCTGCACTTTAAGGTCTGCGGATTCGGAAAGACATGGTCAACAGTAGGGTACCAGCAAGGGAATGATATGTCTGTCATGGGAGTGTCTACTCATCACCCGACTCGAGGCACGTAAACCCGACTCATTGCTACGCAGAACACCCCACATCCTCTATAGATCCAGAAGACACGAGGAAGAATGCCTTGAAAGCTCTTGGGGCGCAGCGTTGGGGTTTCACTTGGTTTGGCGTCACTAGGCTCGGGCCTTGTGTGGGCTTGTGGCTGAAACATGATCTTGGGCGAGTGCGTTGGGTGGTGGAACCGGAGTTGCTCAGGCTTGATGGCCCCGGCTCCGCACGCAAGATTGAGGGAGGATGCAGAAAGAAGATGCAACCTTCGGAACACCGATACCTATGCAGACCCGCCCAGCACGAGGGTAAGCCTACATCCTCAAGAACCGATATCAGCTGCACCCAGGGTGCATGCTCGACTCGTGCGCGAGGAAGACGTCCATGAGCGCCTCCAGTGGCACCACGTTGAAGTTCACCAGGTTTTTCTCATCCACGTGAAGATCCGGAGACGAGGGGTCCCGGTAAATGCTAAAAGTCGACTTCTCCTTACTTCCCCAAGAAAAACACAAAAACCAAGCTCAAAGCTTGCAGCTCTTTAGCCACAAAGAAGGAAAAAACGACGCCAAGATAGGATAGCTGTTGAACTCAGTCTCCCGGTGGAGGCTGATGGTCGACTTCTCCTTCTTAAAGCCTGGGCTTTGTTATTGAATGCAAGGTCCATTACCATACTGTGGATCTATAGTTAATAACCCCAGTTAAAACTTCCTTATTATAAATTTAAAGCGGATCTATAGAATCTATATCTATAGTTAATAAACCCCAAAGCTTCCTTATTATATAAAGCCTGAGCCCAGAAGCTCGCCGGGGATCCACTGGGCCACTGCCAGATAGGCTTGGCTGCCTCGGGGTCGAAGCCCCGGAGCCCAAAGATGTCGAAGCGGTCGAAGGTGCTCCCGATGGTGTTCATGGTGTTCGCACTCCAGGTGTTGTCCTCCCAAGAACTCCGCAGGGGATTCCGTGTTTTTGACTACTGACGACGGCTTTTGGGGCTCTCGGCGGTTTAAAGGACATTGTAGGCGCAGGCTTTGCGCCGGTTGGTCGCGTCCTCCTCTTCCTCGAAGTTCAGGCTCACGAAGGTCGCCAGGTGGTTGACTAGATCGTTGATCTCCTGCTAAAGGTCTCAGTCTCATGACTCATGCAGAATGATACAGCCGTCGCAACAGGGTCACCTAGCACAAGTCTACGTTAGAGCAACGAGAGCGACGAACTCTCGCCTGTTCCGTGTATCGCGTCAGCCCCAGGGCTGACAGCGAGTCGTGTAGAGACTTGCCAGAAACGAGCTTATTCCGGCTCACGACGCCCAATCGTACACGAAGACGATGCCTGATCATCCGCCGCTCCGATTCAGTCATGTCCTGCAAGTCCGATTGCAGCAGTGCCGAGGAGTCTCCGTGGCTCACGCCGCCATCCTCCTCCCCGTCTAAATCATCCAAATCCCCCAAATTCACCTCGGGGAAAATGGAGCCACTAGGCCTCTGATGGCTTTGATGCTCGATCTCAATGTGGGTCTCCTCCCCAAACCTGGGTTCTTGTCAAGGAACTCGTAACTCAGCTAAGTTTAGACTGCCCTAATCGAAATATTCATAAGTTTTGTG